TTTCTTAGTTTAATACAAATGTATTTTTGTACTTTTGTACGGTCATCTTTGCAGCTCTCCGTTGAAATGCTTGCCATGCTTGATACACTGAACTAAGGGCTTTAAATGCCTTCAAGCATCTGGGCTGTAGGCAAATGAACAGATTAAAAACCAAGAGGACGTTTTTTTAAATCAAGCAATAGCTCCTAGATGCAGGAGAAAAGAAGCGAGGAAACATGTTAGCGTTTGATCTAGATGTTTAAATAGTTGGGAAATGCACACACACTAACAGGGCACGTCCACAAAACTGCTTTACTGAATCTGCTTTGCTCGGCAGATTCAGAAACACCTGCCCTCTGTGACATGCATGTACTCACATCGCTGATCTTGGCCCAGCTGCCTTGCTGATGGAAATCCTTCAACAACAGCTCGCGAAGCTCTTTCCTTCCTTCTGACCAGGCCAACACAAAGAGGTATTTTTCACTCTTACCTCCACTGCTAGAGTGCAATCTGAATAGCACAACTGGATGTCAGAGTGAAAATGAAATGGGAGTTTTGCCCTAATGGCAGTGCACAAAAAAAAAAATAATATAGTTCTCTGGATTGCTGGAGATCCCTATCCTTGTGAGCCTTCCTTCCATTTCAAGCTTCAGCTGTGATCCCGCAGAAGAACCTGCCATCCTTTTTCTTCCTCTCTTTCCATGCAGGATGTAGCATGTCTCTGTAGAAAATCTGTGCTGTGATGGGAGCCCCCTGGTGCCACGTGGAAATTAAAATCCTGAGAGGAGCTGCATCTATGAGCTGCAATCCCCGCTTACAGAACATACCAACGTCCACATATTTCATGTGAAAGAATTAGTAGAAAGCTTTGTTTCAAACAGGACATTATAGGCTTGGCACATTTATGGTCATTCTAATTTCTAAAGCCTCTGCACTGCTGTTCTTGAACGCTAACAAGTATTTTCTCTGTATTTGCAGGTCCATCCTCAGTTAAACTGGAGAATAAAGAGGATCTGTGCTTTATAAGCAGGCAGGCAGAGGTACAGTCTGAAGAGCTCTTGCTTTAGAAGCTAACGAGTTATAATGCTAATACTTCTGAAATAGGCATTACAGAATTAATAGTTTCTGGAGCAACATGGATGGGGATACAGCTGGTCTAGTGAAGAGCCTTCTGAGCGTAGGAAGCGCACTGATCTGTTACGGGAGTATTTATGCTCCTGCTTTTAATGTAGTTCTGGCTCAAGATACACAAAATTTAAAGGAGAAGGTGGAAGGGCAGGGAAGAGCAACAAGGAGAAACAAAGGCCAGTCTGAAATTTCTCTGCCAGCCTGACTGTTTCTGTTGGGTGTTGCTGATCACCCATCAAAGGCTAATAAGTAACAGCACTGCGGCTGGAGCCAGGGTACATTTATCTACAATATTTACTTTGGTTTTACCTGATGTTTAAGGTTCACATTTTTGATTGTGGACACTTTCTCAATTGCTTAATTTGGGGGTGGTCCATTGAAGTAGCGCCTTGTTCCTCCGAGGTGCCAAGCCACATTTCCCTTTGAGGTCAGTTCAGTGAATGCTCATTGCTTCTTTCAGCTGGAATTCCGGGTACTCAGTGGTAAAAACAATTTACATAAAGGGGCCTAAAGATTAGCGTTCTAACTGTTGGGATTTTGGATGTCAAACTTTAGACATACCCTCTTGACGTTTCAGAAGCCCTGGCTGTTACAGCCTCTGTTTCTTTTGACTGTGGACAACTAACCTGCCTTTCCCAGAGCCTTTGTCCTCCCACAGCACTGACTCGGAAGCTCCCCAGAACTGTACAAGGCACTGGGGCAGAACTAATACTTGCTCTCACTATAATGCTCCCTCCTGTTCTTGGAAGTGAGGGAACACAATTGGGTGCAAAATTTCCGTTGCTGATGACCAAAGCAATTGGTGAGATGCTGGCGTTTTGCTTTTATTTAAAAGATAAGTTGGCTTATATGGAGTGTAAACAGAATTCTTCTAATTCTACTGTTCCCCACTAATCTCCCCCAACTTCCTTTATTTTTTCTCACCCTAGAGCAAAAAAGCAAATCAGAAAGCCCAAATCAAACTGACTAAGGATCAAAAATGGACAAGGAAACAGGAGCCTGTGAGGAATCCAAAAACAGAGCGACAGCTTCTTGGAGAGCTTTATGCTGACAAAGCCTACCTAGAAAAGTTGCTCAAGGATAAAGGTCTTTCTCCATTGTATTTATCTAGATGTTCCTTCTAAGCAGGTTCTTTTTTTTCTTCTCCTTTTATATCCCTATGACGACTCTTCCTTATTTGTATCAGAGCTCAGATAGCACAATGTGTTTGCAGTGGTCGTGAGAGAGGCAGGTGTCTGGAGAGTACGGGGGGGGTTTGACCCAGATCCAATAATGAGCGTATTTCCTTCCCTATTAAATGGCAGGCTTTTATAACGAACAATAAATCAGCTCAAAGCAATCTTTGCTGACGAAATCAAAAGCAGAAGCAGTATCACTACAAATTACTTAACTTCTGTCATACTGACAAATTCCACTAACACTTGCATTAAGAGCAAAGCATTGCTCATAAGACTGCAACTCATTTGTGGTTTCGTTAGAAATGCTGTTAAGATCAAGATGCAGGATTCAAAGTAGTATGTCATTTTAGAACTAGGCAGAAAGGTGATTGCCCTTCAGTCATTTTTCTTGGAAACTCTTTACTGAGTAATAGAAAAGTAATTAAGAATTTAGTTTTCTCACGGGCTTTATGGTATTATTGGCATTAATAATATATGTGGGATCCCTGGTTTCCAGGCATGTAAAAGCCAGCCGTCTCAATTTCCATCTTGCAATCTAATCCACAACACTTTTCAAAGTGCCATTCCAGCACAAAGGCCCCATACAGTTGTTCTGTCCAGGAGGACGGCTGCTCGCTCATCACAGCTGGCCCCGTTAATTGGGCCCCTTCTTGGCTCTTGTCAGCAGAGAAGGCAGCAGCTCTAAGGGCTGGGAACACCAGCTCTAGCTCCCCAAAACAAACGGTTACAGCAAGGGAGTTTTCCACAACTTCCCTCCTAATCGCATCGGTTCTGAGAGCACTGAAGACTTTAATTTCTAGGACTCTCTCTCTGTCAGAGCAGAAAAGCATTCAGAAACAGCCCTCCACTGAATTGCAGCTTCATTCCTCATATACATTAATACTCTCCTGGGTTCTACCATCTTATTTTCAGATTTGATGGAGAGCAGCACAAAGCAGGGGATCAAAATAGCGGACCTGGTTTTGAGTGGCATTGCCTACCTGGACACACGCAGTGAATTCTGGCAGCAGCAGAAGCCTATTTATGCCCGTGTGAGAGAACGGAAGCTCAGGCAGCAAAGGTGGATCCGGGACAAGAAACGAAAACCAGCTGAAGTTGGCAGATACATCGTGAAGAGCATGGAAGACATTGATATGTGTAGGTGTCCTGGCTGGAAGCAGTAAGAAAACGATGATTGGCACATGTAATTATTTGCTGTAGTAATTATAGACCAGAACAATAGAAGCAGTGCAAGTATTAACAAACACTAGGAGGCAGGTTTCGGGCAATATTTGCTTTCGTATTCTTTACCTTTCCCAGCACTTATTTAGATACAGAATCCAACACTTTTTTTTTTGGTCAGCTTTTTCTGTACTTGAGGTCTGGCTGGTTGGTTTTCAGGACACCACTTAGATATCAAACCCAGGTAGGTCACCGCTGCGTGCTTAGCAAATGCCTCTGGCTTGTTTGGTCATCAGAAGTTATTTGATTGAGAGAACGCGGCCGCTGGAGTTACTCATTTCTATAGTTCAAAAATAGCATTGTAGGGAGATGAAGAAGCTGAAAAACAGTGGTCTGGAAGGAAGGAGTCATTCAGCCACTTCTGGCCTCTTTCTCTCTTCCTGTGCTACATATCTTACAACCCAGGGAAAAGAATTGAGTCGTTACTGCAATTCAGTTCTTGTAAGCTACAACAGCGTGGTGCAGGTAGTGTCAGAACCAGTGCTGCTCCCACAGCACTGCAGCCCCGCTGGGCACAATGAACAGAGCTCACCAGGAAAGTGCCCGGGGCTGATTTAGGAGATAAAAACTCAAGTACTGTAGCTAGAACTTTCTCTCCAAGACCAAACTGCCCTGCTGCGATAACTATGAGCTTTCAAAACCTTCAGACAACAAGCATCATTCTCCTTTAGTTTTCTTTGGCGAGTGTGAAGTGTTACCAGAGTCATTTCCCCTTACTTGCTGGGATGAAAGTTATTTCCAGCAGTGCCAGGCGGAGGGTCAGAATTACCATTTCCCAGGGGCAGATTTCTCAGTGATTGGAAGGAGGAGTGCAGGAGATGCGTGAAGAGTGAGGAGCTCTAACCTTTCCCAAGCTCTGTCTGAGCCCTACCCAACTACACTTAGTTTTACTTCCCCAGTATCGCTGTGTCCACGCACTAGCGTTACACTTTCCTCTTTGTCTCTAGTGCTGACTGGCGACTGCCCTGAAGAAAGCTGCAAGAAAGCTCAGCGTGTGCTAAAAAGAATACAAGGGTGGTCAGATGATGAAGTTCCCAACAAGAACGAACTGATTGGAAACCTCCACAGCTGCATTGGGAATGCTCAGTTAGAGATGGGTCAGGTGGAGGCAGCTCTGCAAAGCCATAAAACGGATCTGGAATTTGCCAGGCAGAAGTAAGTGCTGAGTTCGGGTGGATGGGGAAAGGAAAGTACCCCCGTTAAGATGTTTTAGCATTGGGTAATGTTGTCATTCTCACCTGGAGATTTAACAGAGTAACGCATTCAGACTCTGCCCAAGTGTCATGGTCTTAGCAACTTATTGTCTTCACTATTTCAAAAATAAGGAGTCCGAAGCAGATTTTTAAAGGACTTGGACCACGTGGCACATCTAAATCTCTATTGAAGCAAAGCAAAAGAGAACACAAGTCCCATTCTCAGCACTTTAGCCTCCAGTATGCACTTCCTTCTCAGGAAGGTCACACTCTAAATTACACAAGTTTTCTGCTATGTTTGCTCTTAAAATTATTTGCATTCAAGCCACAATAGCAAGCTTGAAATATTTCTCTAAGAGGTACAATTACCTGCTCATACAGAACACATTCTGCAGCTCTTTCAGCTAAAACAGAATAAAGCAAAATGAAGTCTTCAGATTTAGTAAGAGTTTTGCAAAGCACGGGAGAAAACACTGAATAGTTGCTTGAATTGAAGTTATTTTGGTTTTATTTTTGCCAGTACTGTGTAGGGCTTTTAAAATGTAACTAACTTATTGTTTATCATTTTCACGAATGACTTTTTATAATTAGCATTAGTTTAAGAAATTTCTGCCTCTCTCCAGGTACTCTCCACTCCCCAGTTATGCCAAATAAAGTTAAGAATTAGCAGTAGAGAGGCAGGAATGAGGTTCATCATTTTACTACTTTTTTAAACCGATATAAAGCTACATTTAAAGGACGAAGCGCGGTGATGACCGAGGGAGCCTCCCCCTCTGGTGGCTGGAGCTCCCAGGGTGACAGGAGGATGGTTAATGACTCGCCATCGCCCCCAGCAAGGCGTTTATCCTCTCCTCTCATCACCTTTTTCGTTTGTAGGCAAGGGTAGTCAAAACAGGCCACTTCTGAACATGGGAATGAGGACTAATTAAGGAAAAAAATTAAAGTCCACAGGCTACATTATTCCAGAAGGAGCTGCCTCTAGCACGGGGCAAAGGTTTATTCAGAGCACAGGGAGCAGGACCCATTACCAGGAGTCTGCAGGCACATTGCAGACACGGTTTTGGGTCTTCCCTTTTCTCTTGGCCAGAAACCATCTGTTAGTGTTAGGGATCCAGGAGCTGGTAGGGGACTGCCACAAGGCAACAAAGGGAAACTGAGGCAAAGAAAAGTGGAAGGACTTTCACCAGGTCTGCCAGATTTGCACAAAAAGAAAAATCAAAGTAAAACTAAACCATTTTCCCCCTGTGCCTTACAGGGTGTCAGTTGCAACAGCTGTAGATAAAATCAAAAATCTACCTGGATTTCATGACTGTCAGCCTGACATTGGCCCTTTACCTCTACTTCTCAACACTTAGCCTGAAGTCAGTTTGAGCACCAAAGAAAACATATGAGGCTGAGGAAAGCGCAGGCTGTACAGGAAGAAGACTATGTCAGCTACCACAATTTCTTTTTCTTTTCAACACAGCAATCTGCCAGATGCCGTATCCAGAGCCCTTGATAACATTGGCAGAGTTTATGCCAGAATCGGCAAATTCCAGCAAGCTATTGACACGTATGTAAAATTAGTAACAGAAAAGGCATAAGGTTGTATTTTGAATTAAATAGACGATGTCTTTTCAGTTTGTTTAATCGTACTGCTAGCAAGGTGGGGCTGTGAGATTTTTCATAACAGTACCTGGAATGCTTTCTTTATAGAATCAGTGGTTGAAATTATAACTCCTAATGAGATTCAGTAAATGTCTGTCTGTCTTACTCTCTGCTTGAAGCTGGGAGGAGAAGATTCCAATGGCAAAATCCAACCTGGAGAAGACCTGGCTGTTCCATGAAGTTGGCCGATGTTACCTGGAGCTGAATAAACCTGAAGCAGCCCAAAATTACGGGCAGAAGTCCCTGCAGTCAGCAGATGAAGAGGGAGATGTTGAGTGGCAACTCCATGCTACTGTCCTAGTGGCACAAGCACAAGGTAAAGGCGTTACTACAAATTTTGCTCTGAGGATGGAAACAGCCTGTCTGTTCAGCATCTTAGTGAAAACATCTCTGTGATTTAACAGCCAAAGTAACCGTTCAGATCAAGACCGCTCATCGGAGACTTGCTTGATTAGCTATTGTTGTTTTCTTGATCTTGGGTTAAAATAGATGTTTTCATTTGTCTCTTACAGTAAAATTACACAATTACTGGTCTGCAATCATGAACTTTGAAAAAGCACTTGAGAAGGCAAAGCTTATTCACAACGAAGCTGCTCAAAAGGCCATCATTATTGTAAGTGGGGTGTTGCAAAGAGGAGAGAAGCTGTAGTTAGCTGTAACTCTTGTCTAGGGTCCTGTGAACTGAGAAAACATCACTACTTAGGTAGAGTGTTAAGAGGGGGAGAACGCAGCCTCTGAAGCAGTTTACGTATTAAAACTTAGGAAACCTCCTGGCTCAGAAAACTTAACCCCAGTTTATGAACCAGTCCAACATACAGAAGAGTGAAGCCCCGACAGGCCAAGGAAAAATTTTCTTTTGACCTCCCTGAGGCAAGGGTTTTGCACAGAGAATACAGCAGTGCCTTCTCTGTGTGCAGCTGCTATCAGCTGCTGGTCACAGCTTACCATTTCCTGGCCTCTCCAAAATGTCCCAGAGAAACCACTTTGCAAACCATGGAAGAACATCTGGGCATGGCCACCAACCCACGGTAAAGCCGTCTGCATGTTCTGGTAGCCAGTCTTCATCGACCCGACAGCAGGTTGTGGGTGATCTGACCGCAGCCAGCTTGCCAGGCAACAGTTACAGCCGAGACACCCACCTATTTCGTGATTCCTCCGGGGTGTCCAGAGCACAGCCAGTTTGCCAGGCAACAGTTACAGCCGAGACACCCACCTATTTCGTGATTCCTCCGGGGTGTCCAGAGCGCAGGCAGAGCCTGCTCTCCTGCCAGAGGAAAAGTGATAGTGTGAGAGATGGAATCTTCAGGGCAGGAGATATTTGGTAAGGGTTATTAACAGGTAGTAATCGCTGCAGGGAGAAAGGAAGTATATTGTTGCAGAGAGCAGGTAGGAAAGGAGCAGGTAGTGATAGCAGAGATTGAGAGAAAACAGGAAAACTTAGGTATGTAACTGCATTTCTAGAGCTTTTATTAATAAGCCGTATCACTTTCAGTCCTTAGATGATGTGAGCAAAAGCTTCATCGAAGAGCTGGAAAAAAGAGAAACGACAGCTGACACTCCTACAGGTAGTTGTCATTTAGACCTTAGCACCTCATGAATACAGAAATTCCCCACTTTCCTTTTCTGGAGCAGAGACCGAGGCAGGAGAACCAAACGCCCCATTCCCAGGTAGCAGGCGTGCAAATTTCTGTCCCATATTGTATCCTCCGTACTAGTACACAGGAGCAGGAATTAATTTATATGGGAAGTCACAGTGTAGTTATAATTCATGGCTTCAGGTTTTTTGGCAGTGAAGGTTTAATCTTGAGCTGGTATTAGCCAAAGTAAGTGACGCCAATGAAGCCCTGATAACTGCAAAGGAGCCTGGTTTCACTCTTCCGTGCCATGCCTTTGAAAAGCTGCTTTGAATAACGCTGAAAGCAGCTCCAGCGCCCAGAATGCAGAATGGTGGGTGCAGCCAGAACAAACCCTGACTGTCAAAGTGCCTGTCCATAAACGAGATCCAAATGAGGCCTCACGCCGTGTAAAAGTATTTTTTTTTTAATAAGCATGAGATGAAACTCTTTGCAGAAGTGGTGAATCCCTGTCGGGGCGGCCGTGCCCACCTCGGCGCCCTGTCCAGGAGGTGGCAGCACCTGACAAGCGTCGCCTGTGCCCGGGCCACCCGAGACCGCCAGCCCGGCCGTGGGTGGG